ATATATCTAATGTAGAATGACCAATGAACAATGTCAAGGAAGTGCCAAGAAAAGGGGAAAGAGGAGAAATGGAGTCTGCCCTCACTGTCTTGCATCTGTCCTTTCTAGAGGATGGAGTAAAACTAGAGGACGCAGTGTGTCCTGCTGGTTAAAGCATCAAATTGTGGGGGAAAGTGTGAAAAAGGAAGCACACTGAGAACGTCATGTGGTTCCTAGGGATCTTGTGCCATGGAGTCCAAGTGGACATCTGAGAGAAAATCCAAGGGTGTCTGCAACCCCCAACTGCTGTCAGCACAACTCAACTTCTGACCTACTGAGAGAAACAATTTTGCTCAGCTCCATTCTTGAGCATTTCTATCTCTCTTCTTTAGCACCTTCCGTTGTTTTCTGAACAAATCTGAAATTGATAACCACACAAATGTGGTAATATGGGAAGAGTGGGCGTTGGTCTAAATCTCAGTGCTATCCCCCTAACCTTTGGGTGATGGCCCTGCCTGAGCCAGTGCCCTCTTGTAGCACAGGGTAAGAGCTCCTGACACCTGGTGCTCATGAATCGGACAGGAGGGAATATGCATTGCGTCCGACAACAAAGCAGCCCTCGGGAACACAGCTTCTCTTCTTCAGTGGGTGGGTGATGTACCAGTAGTCCTTTTTCACACCTGCTCCCCAAAGTGCCAACTCTAATCAATCAAAATGAGCTTGATCTGCCGATAGCTGGGCTACTCCTTTACCCCTTCCTAGTGTTTTTGTGCATGGCATGATGTCCACCATAGTGCTCTCCCAGGCTAGCCAGATTGACTTCTCTATGCCACTTTCCCATGCTCAAAATGTCCCTTCCAACCTTGTCAGACTTGTGCAGATTCCAGCCCAACAGTTACATCCCAGACAGGCCTCTTCTGGCCTTCTGAGCTCTCACGTCACTCTGCAGCAGAGAAGTCCTGTATAATTGCTATTATTAATTTTTCCGGAAATAATTTGTTCTTGTTTGTAACCTCCTCGGTCTATAAGCTCCTTGACTATGTGGACCGTTTTACTTATCTTTGCTGTCCTAGTGCATCACACAATACCTGGCACAGGTAGGTGTTAGGCAGCTGAAAGAATGAGGTCTCTATAATCCCAGATTCTAGAGGTCTCCTCTCTTCCCTTTCCCTTCCTTCTTCCTCCCTACCCCCTCTCCCTCCCTCCCCTTCTCCATCTGACCTCCTTGCGTAGGCTGATGTTGTGACCTCTCATCTCTGTGCTCCAGCTGCCTCTCGATACTTTAAGCCAGTGTGTCCATCATATGGCCGTTTGCACATTCTTATTTGTGGTGTTTTCCTGCACAATGCTGATTGGCAGTCTGCAACCCATCCTACCATCCTATCTTAACTTCTCTGGCCAGCATTCAAAGCTCCACCTGCTAACCCTCTAAGGTCCTCTAGGGACTCTCCTTCACCATTTCCTCATGTCTCCCGTCTACCCCAGGCATTTCAGTGTTAGCATACCCACCCTTGCTTGTGTTTCTTTCAGTCCTCTTTGACAAATGCTTTCCAAGAGCCTACTAAGCAAAAAGTTCCATGCAAGGTACTTCCTAGGGTAAAAAGATGAGTACAACACAGCTCTCACTTCTGAGAAACCTACATGGGGTGGGAGCACACACCAGAATCGCTAGTACAAGGCAGGCTATAGGCCATGACAGGTTCAAACTCAGCACCTGAACATTGTAAAGACTGGAGAATTGTATCTGCTTTGGGGATCTCAGGAAATGATCTGTGTGTGAGTAACATCACATTTTAGCCTTGGAATATGTTGTGATAGAGAGCAGTGAGGGCCAGTACCAGCATGAAGATGAAGGTGGGGGGCTGTGTGCACTGTGGCTCAAGTCTGTAATCCTAGCTACTTGGGAGGCGGAGACTGCGAGGATTGCGGTTTGAGGCCAGCCCAAACAAAAAGTTCTCAAGACCCCATCTTAATCAATAAGTGCTGGGCATGGTGGAGCACACTTATCATCCCAACTATGAGGGAAGCAGGTGGCCCCCTGCATAAAGTGAGACTATCTCAAAAATAACCAAAGCTAAAAGAACTGGGGGCATGGTTCAAGTGATAGAGTGCCTGCCCAGCAAGCACAATGCCCTGACTTCAATCCCCAGTACTTCCAGAGAGAGAGAGAGAGGAGGAAGAGAAGAGGAAGAGAGGAAAGGAGTAGCCAGAAAAGGTTAGGGCCAGTGTGCTGGGGCTAGGGGTGCTAAAGAGAGGATATGAGGATGTCATGAGGCATCATCTAAGACTTGGCTGACAGGGAAACCACACCTTTTAGGCATTCCTGCTCTGCCCATCAGGAGCTTTCAAACCTTACCAAAAGTCACTTCCTCCAGGACACTCTGACAATCAACTCTGACCGCACCTACCATTTTTAATGATGCATTTTGTTTTGTTTTCTGGGAATGTTGTATCACTATGTTGCCCAAGCTCATCCCATGAGCTCAAGCAATCCTCCTGCCTCATGAAATTATTTTAATTTGGCTATCCTGATTTCCTGTGTCTCTGTGGCCTCCTTTGACAGTCAGCTCCATTCCCCACACACACACCTTTTCTTTTTCCTTGCCTTAACTCAGTGCTTAGGATGGTGTTCTTGCCTTAGGCACTTAGTAGGACCAGAGGTCTGAATGCTCTGCACTGTGTTACTCATTTCTATACTGGAGGTGGAGCAGCCAGGAGTCCTGTCCTCAGGAAATCCCTGTTCTGGTAATCAGTAATTATGAGTAATTTCACCTCCATGTGCCTTGGTTTCTAATTTGTGCAAAGGGATTAATAATTCCTTTCCTGCCCTCTTTAACTTTGCCGGTAAGGACATGTAAGTTTAACATTTTAAACACCGTAGTAGTATAGACATATAGGTCTTTGCAGCACATTCATTTTGCATTGATGAAGGAGTAATTTGCCTTCCTGTGCCCCCCTGCTGAACACATAGGAGTTCTGGAACAGGAAGTTATGATTATGGGTAAATAAGAGGCACAAGAACCCTTCTCTCTTTAAACTCCTCAGACTTCAGGGCACTGCTCCGTGACTACCTTGTGAACGTTAAAACGATTACCAGATTACCAAGGAATTTGCTACTAAATGAGGCTAAGAATTAGCGGTGGTGGTTGGCTGAGCAGAGCAGGCCCTGGCAGCCCATAGCCCTCCATGCCTCATAGACGGGCCTTTAGGGGCGATATGGAAAATGACCTGCGTTGCTGCGGGCTGGCCCCCTGGTGAATAAAGGAGTGCATTATCTGCATCTAAGTAGTCTCGGAAGAGTTCTTGTTGGAGATTGACGACCATAGCGCTAAGTCCTTCCAGCGCGGGAGAGTGCAAAGCAGTGTCCCAAGGGCTCTGTCAGTGACAGGAGCCTGAGTTGTCAGAAAGAACCATGGCCATAAAAACACAGAAGGAATTAAGAGATGGGCTATTGTCATCAGAAGTGAGGGCTGAGCACCTGCCACTTAGGTTCATCTGCCAGTCAAGCATACTACACTGTCCCCAGTTCTCACTCCTCTCTCAAGCCTATGTCCCAACACAGAGATGGCTTTTTTCTCTTCTTTCCGCGTGGAAGTTTACTGACCTGGGACAAACTAAATTCAGGCCCCGTCGGGCTTCTGGAGTTCACAGTCCAGCCTGGTGAAGTAAAAGTTATTGGCGGGGAGGCGGGGGGGAGGGTAGATGATGACAAAGTCAATGTGCTGGTGATGTGCACGGAGAGATAATATTGTGGAGTGGCTTGGTGCTCTTGAGAACAGCTGTTAACCTTAAATAATCCAAAAAGACTTTGTGGTCCAGTTAGCTTAATGTAGTGTGAGTTTGAGAAATAGCCATGGGCAGAAAGGCAGTGAGGGCCAAGCTGGAGAGAAGAGCTCCCCAGGCAGAAAGGTCAGTAGTCCCCAAGATTGGGACCCAGTGGAAGAGAAAAAAATATTCTAAAGCTGACTGCAGTGATGACTGTACAGGTCTGAACACACTAAAAGTTGTTAAGTTGTACCCCTTAAATGGGTGAATGGTATGGTATGTGAATTTTATGTCTATAAAGCTGGTTTTAAAAAGAAAAAAAAATCCACTGGAGAGAAAGAGGGTAAGACAGGCTGGTAGGTCTGCTGTTCCAAAGGATTGGGAGAGACTTCCACCAATTGTTAGGGTTTCTGCACTGAGGGGTGTTGGACTTGTGAGGTGCAATGGAAAGTTTGTACCTGACAAAAACGTAAGCAAGGGGGTGCATGTGCACAAACAGGGACCTGTGCCACCCTTGTTGCCTAGGCACTGAGACAGATTGTCGGGGAAAGGACCTTTCTTCCCTGGGTTAATCTGATTCCAAAAGGACAGAATTCAGCTTATCCTGTCGACAGGTTACTTATGGTGGCCCAGACCAAAAAATGAAAAATGAGTGGGCTAAAGAAACAAATTTCCTGGAAGTAGAGAGAATTGTCACTAGGGGCTGTGGATGGGAAGGGATGGAGGAGATGATGGATACGGTTAGATGTAAGCGCTAGTGCTCCTCAGGTGACTGTAGTTCACAGTTTATCTGGATTTTATAAAGAACTGGAAGAGAGGAGTTAAAGCTTCCCAACACAAAGAAATGATAAATATTTGAAGAGATGGAAAGTCTAATTACCCTCATTTGATCACTATACTTTGTGTACATGTATCGGATTACCACATTTTTCCCCATAAATATGTGTGACTATTAAGCATTTTTCAAAACAAATTTTAAAAAGAGTTAGTAGAAGCTGATAAATAGCTTAGGCTTGTGCCCCTTGAGTATGAATCATTTTGTCCCTGACTCATCAGATAGGAAAAGCGGACTTGAAACATGACTCCTGAGGCCTCTTTAGTCTATTAAGAATGAGAAGCACCAGAAGGAGACTTTAGAGCTATGGGACAAGTTGGCTTTCTCCTGGCGTGTGGTTGCTGTTCCTCGTGTATTGTGGCCATTTTTTGCCACTCCACTCACTGTCCAACTATTCTCCACAATGTTTATTCATTTCTAGGATGTAGTCCGGCGTGGAGAGATCATAGACAATGACATGGAGGATGAGTTCTATCTCCGGCGTTTGGATGCAGGGCTCTTCGTTCTCCAGCACATCTGCTACATCATGGCTGAGATCTGCAATGCCAATGTCCCCCAGGTAGGAAGGGCTTCCCCGATGGGCCTGTTTCTCCCTGCCTCCTTCCTCACCATCTGCATGGGTGAAGACTCAGGAAAGGGTGGGTTGTGCTCTACTTGAATTCCCTCACTGTATGGGCTCCATTTAAGGAATCCAGACTCTGTGTTCTGGTGTCTGCCAGGACACATGATCCTTTTTTCCCCTCCCTTCCCATTCTTCCCTTCCCTATTAGATTCGCCAGCGAGTTCACCAGATCCTAAACATGCGAGGAAGCTCTATCAAGATCGTCAGGCACATCATCAAGGGTGAGTGGAACAGTGCTGGGCCTGGGGCTCCAGAGAGTTACAGGGTCCTTATGAGAGTCCCCCTCAGTGCCTGTGGTGGTGGTACACAGGATATTCTTACTCGACGTGTGAGTTTCTTACCATTTCATCATGCTGGATAGTTTGTGCCAGAGCACAGAACACTAACCTCATTCTCTGCCTTGGACCCCTTGGTTCCAGAACTAAACACACCACAAGTAAGAAGCAATAGGGCACAGAAATATTTGTTAAATAAATAAGGCAAAACAAAAAAATTCAGTTCCTAACTGCATGTATTGGAAGGGAAGAAAACAAGGACATGACAAGAAACAGCTGGAATTATACAAGCCAGAAAGCAGTAGATCCGAGGCAGTGTGATGTGTGGAAGATCATGCCTACCTTTCAACTCCCCTAACGGTGTGAGCATGCTCACTTTGCTTATTTACTGTGAAAAGAAAGGAAGTTTGCAAAAGTTGGATGGGTGCTGCTTGGCACATGGCGAGGGCTCAGGTAGTGTGAGTGTCCTGCCTTCCCCCACCTTCCCTACAGTGGCGCCTATGCTGCTGAGTCTTTAGCTGATCCTGCTCCAGCTAGAGTGGTGGCTCTAGACCCAGCTCTGGGATGCAGCACCACCCTCGGGTCTCTTAGGCATTAACTGGGGAGCACAGACAGACACGTGGTGGGTTTAGACATTACAGTACTGATAACACCAGAGTTTAGAGAGTCCAGGTGGGCTGGGTGGTCACAGCCAGATCCATTTTCTCTGACCTTTGTTCTGCCCATTGCTAAGCTAAGGGGTTGGGCTAGATTGACTCAAAGGGTTTTCACCTTACAGTGGCTCATAGCCCCCTTACAGGTGCAAGATGAAAGGGAAAGGAACTAAATGAAGAGAGGCTCTGGATCTGGGATCTGCATCCTGGCTCTGCCATTTCCTGTTTTCCTTGGGCAGGAGACCCAGGTCTCTGCCTCATTGACTGGCCAGAGGGTTAAAGAAGGTGATCCAAGTGTATGGGAAATATTTGACCCTTAATAAGCGCTCAGTAAATGCCAGCTAGCACGACTGTTATGAAATGTTATGATAATTATCCTCATCATTATTATCAGTGAGGCACAGCTAAAGTCCCGTGGGAAGGCTAGCCAGAGAAGTGGCACTGAGCTGGTCTATGAGGCTGGGACAAGGACATTCCAGGAAGAAAACACAGTACATTTGAAGGCATGGACTGCAAATCACATCTAGGCACAACCTTCCCTGACTGAGGACATCATACTTAGTGTGCTCATTTTGCAGATGGAGAGTACAAGCCTTGGCAAGGCTCTCTCTTCCTGAGAGAAGGAGGGTAGAGGGGAACTGGGAAAGGGCCTGGTCTCAAGTCTCATTTTCCATGGAGTCCCTGAGTGCTCCTTTCCCATCTCAGCGTGAGATCCACCTGAACTGTGCTGGAGTTGGCAGCCTCTCCCGGAAAGTAGAGCTGCAATGATTTGCGATTCCAGCCTATAAATGGCATTGATTTCTAACGCCCACATGTTCAATTAGAACCTCTTATTGCCCTCAGCTCTGCCACCTTGCATTTAGACTTCTCCCTACACCTCCATCCCTGTAATCAAAACAGTCATCGTCCCAGAAGGAAAAAGTGTTGTCAGTGGTGCTGACACATAGTAGGTGGATGTTTTCCTTTCTTAACCGTACCTCACATATAGTGGGTTATCAGAATTTCCTGAGTTGTGAGCCCACCTCCGTCTCCCTCTTTCTGTTCATCCTCAGTGCGTGTTGAAGTGTTGGCTCACTCTCAGCACTGAATGGAGTGAGTCTGACCGAGTCTGGGTAGGCGAGCACAGTAGCAAGCAGGCAAATGGTGCAGACACCATCTCTTCCCACTCTCTGCCCCTCTCCTGTGGCTTTCTTCCCTCCACATGTCACACCCCTATACCCTGACTTCCAGCCCAGAACCCAGCCTCCAGCTCCCTCCCTGCCACCCTTCGCAGCCAGGCCTGCAGAGAGTCCCACCACTTCTGCCTCCCAGCTCAGTCTTGACTCCATCCTCTCCTCTCCATCTCTTTCCCCATCCTAACACCCTGTTCATTTCCTTCTGAGCCCTTATCACAATCCGTAATTGTTTCTATTTACATGTTTGTTTATTCTTTTGGTCTGTCTCACACATTTAAATGTAAGCCCTATGTGTAAGGGCATCTGCCTCATTTACCATGTCTCTTCAGCTCCTGAGCAGTCACGCTTCTAATGGGAACCCAAATACTATAAGCATTGATTGCTGAATTAATACAGCCCCTTGTATGAATGTAACCTGGCAGGCTTTCTAAGACTCCTCAGAGCAGCTAAGCACAATGGTAGGTCCTGTGCTTCAAAAGGATCACCTGCCATCTGTCTTCATGGGGTCTGTAGCCTTCTGAGGAACCTCAGTGTACCGATGGCCAACCGTAATTCAAGGGGAATGAAGCACACACTCCGGTAACCACTGTGGGTGTTGTCCTTCGCGAGGCTCTGGGTCCATGCCAGAGAGGCAGGAAGCAAGAAAGCAAGGGAGCACCCTCCTTGGGCCTTCACAGCCTAGTGATTATAAGGCGCTAAGTGCTGCATTAGAGTTGTGAACAGTGAACAGCCTGTGCTGAGAGTGGCAGGCAGCCAGTCAGTCCTAGAGGCAGAGAAGGGTGTGGCTGATGAGAGGAAGAGGGTTCTTCTCAAGGGCGAAGCTCATCCCAGGCAAAGGAACAGGCTCAGAGGCAGGGAGGAATCAGTGGCCTTGCCTAGGGCTCCAGCAGGTAGAGCATTGGTAAGGGAAGGATGTTGCTGGGCAGAGCTTAGAGTTCGATCAGGTGCACAGTGACTTTTGGGGTATGGGTAGTGACTGCACTCCCTTTTTAGCCAGTAACAGGTGAACATTCTCATTAGAGCTCACAAGAGATACTGGTTGGGAGCATTTGAAGCCATTAGAGTGTGGAAGTGTAAATCCAGAGAGTTGGACACCATTGCTCAGGCTGAAGAGGTCCTTATCCTCTGCAGGCCGGGGTTATAACAAACAGTTCTCAGCCACATAGCACTCCTTGCCCTGACTCACACGTGCCAGGGGAAGCCCATCGTCTTCTCTTGGGGTCTGAAGTCTGCACAGTGTGGCCCCATCTGTAAGCCACTGCTGCACATGGCACAGGGAGGACCCTCAGGACCCCTCACTTGGTGGTGGGAGGGCAGTGTTGAAGTCATAGGGGCGAGGCTGCAGTGGGGCTGGAGACAGGCCACATCTTTTTTTCTTTTCCCCAGGTGGTACTAGGGTCTGAACTCAGGGCCTCACACTTGCTTTGTTAGGCAGGCAGTCTACCACTTGAGCCACTACACCAGCCCTAATTTATGTTGGGTTTTTTCCAGATAGGGTCTCACAAACTGTTTGCCAGGGCTAGCTTTGAACCACGATCCTCCTGATCTCTGCCTCCCAAGTAGCTAGGATTATAGGATGAGCCACCAGTGCCCAGCTACACAGGCCACCTCTTAAAGCCCATCTGCTCTCCTTCCTTCCCCCGACCGCCACCCTTCAATTCATCATAAAGCCTGAGAAAACAAAGCCTCATAAAGAAACCAACTCATCATCAGTCTGTCCTCTTTGATTTTAATTTTGTTTTTCAGTTTTGGTTGCTTTATTTTTTTTTTTAACATACTAATTAGATGCAAGCTTTTTGCTTTGATTTTATGGCCTACATATTTCCTAAGTTTGCTGGCAGGATGACAGCTGATGTATCCCTTGAGGTCTCAGGAAAATGCTGATGAGGCAAGCCCAGCAGGGGACTTTTCCCAGGAATTTCAGTCCTCTTTCTTGTGGTTTTTCCTCCCTCCTTTTTGGGGGGGGTGCCAAGAGAGCAGGGAATAATTGATAGCTCATTAAAGTCCTGCTTTCTGCAGACTGCTTACTCGGAGCTCCCAGAGTCCGGCCTTCCGGAACTGGCAGCAGCTCTGGGCCTGAGGACTGTGGACCCTCACAGGGATCCTCAGTCCAAGGGCTGAGATGCCCACACAGAGAAGGGCAGGCCAGACTTTGGGCTCAACAAGGACAGCAGCAGCATCCTGTCTTTATTTTCTGGTGCCTGGCACCAGGGCTTGGTCACTGCTGGGGAGTGTGGGTGCATGCTGAGGTTGGGCTTCAAGGACCTCTATGCTGGTCTACAAATCTAGGGCCCCACAGGTAGAGTGGTCCCTCGCTGAGCGCCAGCCGTGCCATGCTTTTAATGTGCGTTCTCTCTGTCCTCCAACAACCCTGGAAAGTAGGATGATCTCTGTTTTGCAGAGAAGGAAACCAAGGCTCCCTGAAATTAAGCAACATCACCTGTGTCACTAGTGGTGTTGGAAACTGGGTTCAGACACAGACAGGACTATATACAGTGAGTGGTGCCTCCATCTTGCAGAAAGGAAATCTCTAGATATGCCTGTTGACATCATGAATGCCCACAGGCTTTTAAAAAGAAAAAGGAAATTCAGGGCATACACCCACATAGAGTACCCATTTGCCACTACAAGGACCCAGCTGGGCTCCTGAAATGAGTCGGATACACTTAGGAGGAAGGGCCTTATAGTCCCCTCACATGGTCAGAAGCAGAGTGACATCTGTGCTGGTTGGGGACACTGTGGAAATGAGGAAGCAAGCTTCATCCCTCGGAGAGTAAAGGAGCTTAAAGATAGATGTGGGAGGCAGGGGCAGAAAAGGAGCTGCTGGGGTAGTGTTTTGTTTGTTTGTTTGTTTGTTTGTTTTCCAAAAGGTTTTACGTACTTATTACTGAGTTCATTCTTAGGACACTCAAAGAAAAAGAAAAATCAGATTCCCAACTTAAATTGCCCAACTGTCCAGGCAATGTTGACATTTTCAGCTTGATAGGTTAGACAAACAGCTGTTGACCATGATACAGCAGAAATATGTGTGTCATGCCATGCAGTTCTGTACCAACCCAGCTTGGTTCTCCTCTAGTGTCCCCTGTTGGAGTTGTACCTGATTTTGTTACCAGTTTCC